CCCCCCCGAGTCATTCTCATCAGGTCAATAGAAGAAAATCTAAAAACTGCCTGTTTTTCTTTTGGAATTCATTTGTTTATCCAACCAATTACTGAATCTGAACGTTTTTTTGTATTCATACCTGTGGGTAATTGGTGCATGCCTTCCCCCCGATTCACAATACAATTGGTAATACGTAAGGCATGATGAATAAATGTCTGCACGGGTGAGCCAAACTCACACCAAAGTGCTACATTGTTTTATCTTTTTATGAATTTCTCTTTATTTGTCTTGGTATGCTGCTTGCTTTTTGCCCGTGCTCGATATATAGAGGTTGTGAGTGTGAAGGTGGGTGATAACAGTCTGTGTTGCTTTGAACAGGTGAACAACGCAACAGCACGAGTGATGACAAACAAAAAAGTGGCCAACCCTTACACGAACGGTAAGCTCCAGACAGTATCGTAAAACTTAAAAATAATCAGGTTTTTCGTTCTCATTTTCAGTTGAGTTTACTTTTTTCGTTCACCAGGCTGGAAGCTGAATCCAGTGGTGGGAGCTGTCTACGGTCCTGAACTGTATGCCGGTGAGAGAACTTACAGCGTGTGCAGCTCTGAATGTTGAGTGTTGTTTTCCCTCCCTCTCCAACCTCACTCGCCGCACCATACCTGAGGCCACTTTCAGCCACAACCAATCCCGATCTGACCCCTGCATTTCTACAATCGAGCTCATCCTGCACCTACTGAACATGAAATTCCCCTCAAATCAAAGTGAATCTGAGAGCGTGGCAGATAAGAAGTGGATGATCCAAGTTTCTCTGAGTGGCTGAGGGAGCCTGAGCCATTGTTTGCGCCGTGTGCAACTGTAAAGCTGAAAAAAAAATGATTTCAAGAGCAGGCGCCCCTGCAACTGTTATCAGATTGTGGAGGCTGCTGCTGTGGATGGATTTGCCAAGTGCGCCAGATTGACTTTTACAGAGCTAACCGAATAAGGGAGATTGAGTGAGCGATATTGTTGGCACCTACCCTGTCGAAGGCCGCTATTCCTTCTGCTCTCCGTAATGGAGGAATGAGATGAGCTCAGTGGGGTTTTCCCTATCTCTCTCTGCCTCGACATGCCAGCTTTATTGCTGTATGTTATATGAACCCTTTGCATTTTAATGAGGGGGAAATGGTACTATTTCATTTGGAAGAAGTGCTGAGCACATCGCGCCACTTTAACGGCTTTCCTTTCTGCTCATTAGACTAAAATCTGTTCATTCCCCGGACAGCTTTACGGCGAACCTCTAAATAACTGTCCATGACAGAAAGCAGTCATCTATCATTTTTATTTCATCCCCAACCCCTCACCCCTTCCGTTCCTCCTCCTTTCCCCCTAACACTCCCCCGGTTTCGACATCTTCCCCTGATAATTATTCACGCACATAAACACGCACACATCCCTTCGAAGGTGCTCAAACAGGTACCGGGAAAAATGTCACTAAATGAAACATGCGGACATTAAGTAACTTATGTAAACAGTCATTTCACTGACCTATATGCTCACAACACTGCCCCCTTTTTTTTCACGCAGACCAAAGCATTCCAGCATACAGAAATAGATAACCTATGTAGAACACAGACACTAATACATGTACCCGCTTCTGTGCACACTTTCTCCGTTTTGCACCCACACACACTCACGCACACACACACACTTCCCAAATCATCTCATAAATCAGAGGGAGTGTGGTCCACCACTCCAGGCAGAGGAAGCAGGAGGGGTTGGGTGATTTATTGGCTGCTAATTTTTCAAGTCGTCTTGACATGGCACTGGAGTTTGCCAAGCCTAAACGACAACATATGCTTGCCAGCTGGGAAGATGGGATACATAAATAAGAGATACATTTTTTAAACAAACCCGCCCTAATGAGCAGCAAAAGGCCGCTTTTGCTATAAAAAAAACAACAAAAAAACAGATCATGCTTTTTGACTTCTTCCCACCTTATGAGCATCACAGGATTCAGGACATACTCCAGAATCATCATAGCTACAGTTAATATACTCTTGGTGGGAGTAAAGTGGGATATAAAGGCGATTAATCACTGTTTATCAGTCCTCATTTCTGTGCGGGAGATCAGTGAAATTGGGAGCCATAAATCCTGGCTCGGTGACAGCACACTTCGTCTCCATTCGTCCTGGCGCTACAGGTTTATTGTCCTCAAAACCCATTCAGGAGAATGACGGATGAGAGCCTCACGCCGGCTCCCCGCTCTTAACCTCTTCCAGGGTAGATTGGCTCCTCCTACTGATGGAGAAGTGGGGGGGGGGGTGGGGAGTCCACATCCTCTGTTTCCACCTAAAAACTCCCCCGGAAGCCTGGACAAAGGAGCAGGCTGATTGGATTCCCAGTCAAATGGAGGTATTGGCAATAAAAACATAGCAATGAGACAAATCATGGCATCCAGGATCTGTGCTCACCTTGTCCTCCTTTACTGTGCGCTGATCTGGAAAACTGTTTGTAAAACAAACCCCAGATTTAGTCCTGCACTAACTCCTATATATATATAGGTACATATATACTTAACAACGACCATCTGTCTGCCTTTTCCCTGGTCCTTTGTACTGGCTTAATGGCACCTGTGCACCTTAAAGTTCAAATGATGCATACAGTGATTGTGTGTGAAGCTAAAGCTAGCACAGAAATGAACAGAAAGTGTGTTTAAATAAAGTTTTAAATCATGCATATTAGTATTTACATGTTAATCTATGTGCATATGTGTTGTGCACATGCAGAGATGCAGATCAGTAGGCATAACATCACTTTTAATTGGCATTCATTTTTATTTTTTCAACATTTATTAAAAAAAATTACACATCAAAGGATGGATTAAAGTGTAAAAAAGCATTGAGAGGCAGATACATTTTGCACTATTTAGTTCTTTTGACAACAGTTGGCCGACTTATCTGGATTGTTCCTCTAGTTGGATGTGTTCAGCACCATGGACAGCTGCCACTTAGAAATCCCTTCATATGGCCAGTTCCCCTCAGGCTGACAGAGAGGGACTCTCCTCTGCAGCTGATTCCTATGGAGACAAGTAGCTTTTCACAGTGTCTGCTACTAAGGTGGAGTTTTCTTGAGTACTCGTGTAAAGCTAGCAGCTGCATAAATGACAGAAAAGAAAGGCTAATTGCTTATTATAAGTAGACAGATCCCTTCATTGTTGGAGTGTACGTTAGGGGGATAATTAAGCTCCAGACTCTTGATTAGATTAAGCTGTTTTCGGTCCCCAGTGCGTGGATTAAGTGCTCGTTGCCCGATGTATTTGAGCAGGAAGTATTAGAGAGATCAACCTTGTGGAAGATCAGATCTTTCTTTATGGGAGCGGTTATGACCCCATCATTGGCACAGAGCTGGATTACCTCAGGTCCAACTGGCTCTGTAGGTATTGAGCTTCTCCCAGGTTGACACATATGACATATGAGGTGCAGCGTGACCCTGCCGCCCTCCAGCGCATAACTCATATTTTCTACATTCCCCCCTCCCTCCCCCCTCCTGGAAAAAGGTGTTTGACTTTGGTGGCTAGACCAGGTTTGTGCTCTCATACACCATAGCTGTTGTTGCTTTTCACGGGCTTACCCAGGTGTGACAGTGCCTTTGATTTATGGGTTATTATTGAAGCAGTGTAGCCTATCGCCAACTCATTATAAGTTTACATTCACATACATCACCGCAAGCATGTTGCATACAAATTTCCAAAAAAGAAAGGATTGGACTTTCTGGGGCCTAGGTGTAGTAGCGATTTGTTAAGAAGAGAAGGAAAAAAACACCTCGGAAACTATCAAAGAGGATTGTTTTTGCCCTTTAGCAAACCGCACTCAGATGTCCACTGCTCCAAAAAAAGAGACTAATTTAAATGTCAAGGTCAGCATTATAAATCACTTGGGGGAAAGGGGGCACCCTGCGAGTCCAGGCTAGTCTATTGGTACGCTGGCAGCAAACAAAGTGTTGTGCACCTTAGAGTGTGCGTTGAATGGGGGGGGGGGGGTGTTGCCTGGCCAAATGAGACGCAGAGTTTGAATATGTGTGCAGACCCACTAATGGAGCGTGATGTTAATGGCAGAAGACATTAAACCTGGCTCTCTGTGTTTTTAAAAGCACCACTAATCTGTCTCCCTGTCAGCTTTATTGAGGCAGCGGGGCTGGGGTGTGCATCGTTCATTAGGGTGTTCACTAGCCTCGTCCACCTGCAGGGTCAGACTCTGTACACGGCACGGCAACGCCCGCCCGTCACTCCCTGCACGCCACCGATGTTTACACTAGCCACCATCATGGATCTTCATTGCTTCTTCGTCTGCCATTGCGAGGAACTGCCTGCTGTCGCCTTGGCGGCAGCGGGTCCATCTAAAACACATCGGGTACATGTTATTAACCTGTGCTAGTCGCCCCAACTGATCACCCCCCCCCAACACACCAACAAGGCCAGACCCAGAGCTCCTCTTCACGTGTCTGATTGAAAAGCGTTCTGCGATGAATTCACCGAAAACATGTCATGGAAATGAATAAAGAATAATAAGGTGAGGGGAGGGTGATGAGAGGGCGTCGCTGGGGATGATGAATAATGGGGATGACTGTGTTTTGATGGACTAGGCATGGGGGAGGGGGGTAAAGAACCTGGGAAGGGGGATGTGAGGGATTTTTCGATTGCTGGAAGGGAGGAGGCCAATTTAATCATGTCTAGAGATGGCTGTGTTTGTATGCACCTCCATCGCTTGTAATCAGACAGCCACTGGACTGATTGAAGGTTAATTAGAGAGCGAAGGATCACAATCGCCTGTCCTCTAATGATCTGTGACCGCGGGCATTGTGCTCACCATCACACCAACCCTTGCTAAAGCCCTTTAACCACAACCCCTACTCACTCACTGGTAGCCATCAGCAGAGGACATATGTGGCCTTGTGATTGGCCAAAGATGGTCCCAGATGGGTTTGGGATGGGGTGATGCTAAGGTTTGGGGCTTGGCTGTCCAGCCCATCTGCTCCACGCTCCCTTGGGGAAGGTTCCGATCATCTAGTCGGGTTGTTCAACAACCTTCCACTCGACTGTAGCCAAAAACCTAGAAACGCCCTCTACCTCTCCCCCGTCCACCCTCCCACTGTTCTCCTCGCTGCTAGCCCATTGTGTGGAAACTATGCAAAAGCTGTGGTGCGAAACTAGTGGTATTGCATCCATTACCTGCCTCTGCTTCAAGGCTGCCCCTCGCCAGGCACCAGGAAAGGATGCGTACAGCAAATGTGGATCCTTGCTGAGTACGGCACAAAGCAGCGAGCTGGGAAAGGGGAGAGTGCTCGATGAGGCGCACCTAGAAAAGATTAAATCTATTGTTTCCTTGTCTTCCCCATAATGCATTCTGTCATAGGCAAAGCAGTGCCACACGTCTCTCTCTAATGTATTCTGTCAAAAGGTAAGCAATGCCAAGTGGAGGATGTTTTCTGAAAGTCATTTTCTCTCCTTTTCCGTAGTAACAGGGTTTCCCTACCCTGCCACAGGCGCTACCGTGGCCTATAGGGGTGCCCACTTGCGAGGCCGAGGGCGGGCCGTGTACAACACGTTCCGCACAGCTCCACCCCCACCACCCATCCCAGCTTACGGAGCGTGAGTATTGAATCTCTCACCTGCATGCTGAAAACAACAACGATGAGCACTTCAGACAGCGCTCAGTGTTTTCGTCGTGTTGCTGCTGTAGGATTTTCATGCTCCAATTATGTTTGCATGCACATGCTACAGTCTTACATACTGAATGTAGGTGTGCCAGTCATACATTCACATTTCAAAAAGGAAACACTTCCTCCACAAGGTTTTGTGACATTTTTAGTCATTATTCATTATAGTTATTTAAAGTTGACATGTTATGCACATTTTTGTTTCATATTAGTATTTTGTGCCTAGTGTGACATGTTCCTACTATGTTACGGAAATGGAGGAGTCCAATTGAGGCGTTTCAGTGTGGTAAGAAATGTGGGATAAAGGTACACAAACACCTATATGACACAGTACAGCTTAAAAGGGCCTCTTTAAACGTGTTCAAATAATAACACTGGTCGCTAGGTGTTGCTGACCTTTAACTCAATTATTCCCCCTTTATGTTATTCTACTCTGTTTGTCTCAAAGGGGTTGTACTCCTTCGGGGGGCAAAATCATTGTTGCTATCTAGGTATGTTCATCCCTTAACTCTGCCTATCCTTATGTTTCTGCTATTGACAAACGAGGAGCTAACAAAGCCACAGGGAGAGCTGCAGAGAGCCCAGATAGCGTATTACTGGGCAGATCTCACTGGACTGTGACCAGGGTCTATGTTGATCTCCTGGCTTTGTGCAGCCACTGCCTCACACTCGCTCTTATCAGCAGTGGTCTGTGTGGCCGTGGGAGAGGTCTGACGGGGGCCAGCCCAGGGCCCACTATAGCTGTCTATCTGTGATTGGATCAGGATCCGTCTTACTTGCAGGGAGAGACTTGCTGTCCAAGCTCGGACTAGAAAATCCCACATGCTCTATTTTTCCCTCCCTCCCACTCCAGGGCCCTTTCGCTACTGATGGCAGCTGGTTGATTTATATAACGGAGTCATGTGATGGAGCTCCTTTGCTGCCTTCTTTTGTCCTCCCCTCCCCTTCTCTCCCGACCACCTCTCGACAACACTGCAGCAACTGGAAAGACAAACAATTTGACCAGAGCAGAAAATTGGACGAGGATGTGAAAGGGTTGCACTTTTTCCTTTAATGTGTCATTCATTATTTGTGGTTCAGCACACTGAAGCTGCAAAGAGCTAACCCCACAGACCCTCAAATGGTGGAAATAGGTGTAGGGCTGAGAATCAGGGGGTTTTCGGAAACTAATGATCCTTGTTTCTTTTATTTCACAGGGTGGTGTACCAAGATGGCTTCTATGGTGCAGAGATCTATGTAAGTACAGTTGGCTCTTCCTCCTGCCTGCTTAGATGAAACAGAAGTAAAGCAGACAAAAAGCCCAGCCCTGGAGACAAAAACGTGATCTCCTCAGCTCGCAGCGCTCCCCCAGCCTCGCTGCCAAGCCGGCGTCGATTAGGCCTCTGTCTGCTGTGCCAAGAAACCCAACAACCACTTTTAAAACCCCCTCTGCTCCTCCCTCTCTCTCTCTTCTCCCTTCCTATGATCTCAGACTTTGGCAAAGAGGCAGAACCCAGGCTCAGTGTCCCGTGTCAAGTCAGGTCATTTCTTACTTTAGATTTGTCTGCGTTTTTGAGGCGGCTCGTTCCTCCTTCTCTTCCGTGTTGTGTTTGTGTGTTCAATCCGAAGGGTTTGGACGGGATATCCCTGCCATGCCCCAGGGGGTCTCGCGCAGGCCTGAGAGGAGCCGGTTTCCTCCCAGCCATCACCATGTGGGAGATAAGAGGAGCGGCAGCAGATAAAGGGATTAGCCGTCCCTCTGGATCTGTCCGTGCAGGCAGGGTCATATCGGGGTTGGCCCTGCTGCACGTCGCCCTTGACAGAGAAAAGCATGGACGCTGTGGAGATAATGCTGAAATTACCACGGTGCCCCACTTTGACATTCGTCCAAACGTTTGCGGAGGGGATGTAATTTGTCCCTTTTATTCTGCCGCTTTTTTTCCCCGTCTAGCGAGATAGCGAGATGACAGTTGCCTCTCACTTTTGCCCAGTGTCTGGGAGCACGGTTGCTGAACCCCGGTGATATATCACTTACACACCAGCCCACATGATAGGACTGTATTTCACTGCTTTTTATTGTAGCGGCATCCACCACCACAGACGAGACCCGGGCTGTGCTCTGAGTGATATTGTTTGCCTCTCGCACTCGTTCAGCTACCTCCAGCTAAGTCCTGCACCCAGATGTCCCCTGACCACGGCCCCGGCCAGGTCGCTCCATCACTCAACCCGTCACGCCAGACCCTGGTGCTTTACTGCCATTAGTTTTGGCACTGGCCACTGCACTGCTTCAGACTGGCTGAGTGCGCGTGGAGGCCTCGAGTGACCAAGAGCAAGCCGTCCCTCAGCCCTCAGTGTCCTCCACAATCATTCAGTGGACACTGTCCTGCTGTCAAAACCAGCAAGCTGATTCGTCTAGGCTGCTTTTTTGGAAATAAATTACTCACTGACATTAGCAGAAACTGGCTGCGTATAAATTTACTCTACATACATCGCATGTGCTTATATATATGCATGCATGCATCTCAATGTGGAAGCGCATACATACATGAATGCAGAAACACGCACTCGGCACGACAAAATAACAAATGTGCTGCACTGTTGTGTGCAGGATTTGACAATGTGGGAGAGTGATTTATTGGTCCGTGTTTGTTCAGGCTGTTGCTGTAATCAGCGCAGTCCCAAGGCATGGCTGTCCCACAGGAAGTCATCTGCCTCGAGTGCTGGGACTTCCTGTGCGTGGAGTGGGATTCTCTCGCCGCGGCCCCTGACCTGATTTTTTTTCACATGCAGCCGCAACCGCCACAACCACTGCACCGCTGCCTCCCTGCACCACTCTCCGTCGGACGTCTTCCCCCCGTGAGTTTTAAAAATGAATGAAAACATGCATTATTAAAAGCCACCTATCCACGGTATAGACGCAGATGGGCACACACTCCACTGGCACTAATAGAAAAACAGTGGGAGAACAGCTTCATTTCTCAAAGAGAGTAATAGCAGCACTCCAAAATGAGGTCTTTAATTCCTTCCCCACTCTGGCAAATTAATACAGCGGTCCTGACTCCCCAGCGGTCCTGACTCCCCAACGGTCCGGCCGTCTCCTGCCTTCTTACCTAATTTGTGAGCCGAGGGGGTCTTGTATAGGTAAAAGGGTCTCTTCAATAATGTAGCAGCTGCGCTTCCTCAATCTAAAATATTTGGTTCACGTGGCCTCTTGTTATGCTCTTGCTGACAATGACTGACCCCCCTCCAATCTGCTGCCTCTCATTCATCCCCCTTTTGCCACCACTTGCCTCATACATCAAACAGCGCCCTCTGGTGTCTGACGTTGCACATGCAAGCAGATACACTGCGGTGACATTTTAGGCAATCTGTGTATGAATTATTGTTTGTGTCTGTGAGATCTACCCTTTTCTCTCTGTGTGTTTAATTATTGATTAACACTTTGCTATGTTTACAGGGAGGATATGCAGCATACAGATTTGCCCAGCCCGCCACCACCGCTGCTTACAGTGACAGGTGAGAATCCCTTCATCCATTCTTTATTTACCATAAGGGTTGCAGTCGAATCGTAAAAAAACAAACAGCTCCAATCAGCATTTCCTAACCACTATTCCTTAATTTCATGGAAAAACATCATGGGGTTAAGTAAATATGTTAGAACAATTCATCAGAACTTCAGGACCCGCCCCCATGCACACTTATGGTTTTGTTTCATGCAGACTTTTGGAGAGTGATAAATATATTCTTCATTACCAAGGTTGGAGTTGAAACAAAAATACATTTGTTGCAAAAACGCATAACTTGTTAGGCCTCCACCTCTATCGCTGAGTGTTTCACCATTCAAACATGTTGAACAAGTATATCCTAAGGTAAAGGAGATTATAAAGGAAGCATTGAAACTCCTTACCTTATCATCTAGAAAAGCTGAACGGCTCTTATCACGGCTGCCACTAAAGTACTTCCGGTTCATTTCACTCCGTGAAGAACCTTCCTACGCAAAATTGTAAATTGGACCGCAACCCAAGACTTCTACATGTATTAGGTGTTGCATTAGGCCCAGGTGGCATCAGAGATCAATGCATGAAACATTGTGTGATCCCAGGGGTCATAGAAACACTCATCATCATCAGAGTAAGATGTTGTATTTATATACAGTACTTTTTAAAAGGGCCCCATTATGCTCCTTTTCAGGTTCATACTTGTGTTTAGAGGTTCTACTGTGAAATGTCTCCATGCTTTACATTTTGAAAACAGTCTTTATTTGTCTCATACTTCACTCTCATCAGCACCTCTTTTCACCCTTTGTCTGAAACCAGAGCCCAGTCTGCTCTGATTTGTTAGCTGGCTGCCTGCTGGTGTGTGAGTGAAAATGTATAGGAGGAAAAGGAGAATATATGTGCGTGAGAGGACCAGTATGAATTACGGCCTGTACGGCCCCTCATAAATAACACCTAGATAACACACTACAGGAAAGGAAAAACCCTAATCATAACAGGGCCCCTTTTAATGTTTTATTTTGTTCAGTAAAGCAGAGATCCTAGAGAAGGCAGATATTGCCTCCCCCCCTGCACTATAAGCAGAAGATACCAAACGTATTGCTCAATAACCAGCGTTGAGTTTAATGATAGACACTCCGCACCGTGTTCGACAAGCTCTTTTTGTTAATGGGAACTTCGATTTAAAGCAACAAGTTGATCCTGCAGGCTGTCAAATAGAGGGAATTACAGACTGGAGTAGAAACAGATGAGGAAGATTGAAGGAAACCGAGTGTTGAGAATACAGCAGAATGATATCGAGCAACGTAGAAGTAGCAGAGAGTGGATTTTAGTTTCAAGCAATTACAGTGCTTTCCTCCAAAAAGAAACAACAATCGTCGTCGGAGAATGTGTGTGATGAATCATCTTCTCTTGCACTTTTGTAATATTCTATGGAGGTTATTCCGGGTTATATATATATTTTTTCCCCCCACCTCTCCAGTTATCTATTAGGCAAACCGTCATATTCTTTTTAGCTCGGAGCTAAAGAACACACACCGAAAAAAGAAGGACTAACCTTGTTGGACTGGATGAGAAAAGCCGTGATATATGTCGTGACTCTGTGCTTGTGATGGGAGAGTGGGTATATCACTGCGGTATTTATGAATGGCCTCAGGTCTGTAGAGGGGAGGTGGAGAGACAGAGAGCAGGGGGGAGATGGACCGGCAGGAGCTCTATCACTTCTGAGCGATGTCACTCTGGTTCAGGTGTGCTCCGTTTGAGGAGGCGTCGCTGATTCATTTCGGCCCCTGAAAGCCGTTGTCAGCCGGGGATGTGGGCTGCTTTGGGAATCTAATCTGGGAAGGATTGAGCATGTCACTTGTGATAACGTACACCCTGCCTGAGAGCCTGAAGATCATATCGATAATGTAAGATTTATCAGGCCGTCGCCGCGGCTCGAATTATGAGCAGCCGTGCTCGGCGAGAGCAGAAATTGGACAGCGGATTTCTTTTTTTCTCTCTCAGTGATTTAATTCCTGTTTTTCTTGCCTCTGAGATTTAAAGTAATTCGCCCTCAACTTGATTGTTTTGTTTGTTTCCTTTTGAATAAGCGGTCGTGCCCATTGGATCAATAGGGGTTTGTTGCTATTGTTTACCTTATCAGACTTAACCGTAAACAATCAGAAAGAGGTCACCAGGATTGAGGAAGGCGTGTGAAACCCCCTGAAAAATATGAAACATTTATTATCTGGAAAGCCTCCTGCAGTGCCACAGGCTGCACTACCAAAGCCCCTTTAAGTACCTCTAAAGTTCATAGCAGCGGGCGTGATGTATCAAAGAAGCCTAGAGAGGAGCCAGTGACATTGTGGAGACCCTGCCGGCCTCCATATGGATCTGTGGAGGCTCTGCGACCTTGTGCAGGGTGGTTTGACCTGCCAGGCGTCAGCACTGCCACTCTGGTGAGAGTCATTTTGTAGATGTATTAGCCTTAGAGGGCCTGTGGGGCTCAGTGCTCAGTGAAGATAAGAGGACCATGGAGACTCCCTCTGACCATCTCATGGCGCCGGCCTCCTCCCCAAGGAGCCGAGGCAGCCTTTCTGATTTCACGTCCTGCTCACTGACCTTGGGTGCTGCCGGACGTAAATGGACCGAGCCATATTTAGATCTTATATAAGTCAACGTAGCTCATGCGAGAGGCATGAGCGGCTGTATGTCTTGTTGTTTCCTTTAGGAGAATTTCCTCTCCTCTCTCCACTCCCGTTTTATTCCTGGTTGAGTTGGTGCCCTCAGTCCTTGGCTGGGTGTGCCTTATCTGCTCCGTGCAGACCCTCATTTGCAAGCAGGCATTGAGGGGAGAAAAAAAACCGGAGGAAAGTAAATAGAGGAATATGTGAAGTCGAATAAATAAATAAATGAGGCAGACACATCTTGTCCTGTCTCAGAAGGAAATTGGACGGATTAGTTCCAAACCAGCAACAATGAAAAGACAGGGGCGTGAGCCCAGTGTGCATTCTGGGTAAACAAGAAAAGGGTGAGAGACCAAGCCCTGCAGCAGCCACTGTGCCTCCTTCTCTCTCGTTCTTTCTTTCTCTCCGCCTCCCTCTCTCCCTGCTCATTACCTATTCCTTGCACCTAATCAAGATGACAATGAAAAGACAAGTATAATTCAGCCACCTTTGAACTCCCCTTTTTGAACCACCTTGTATAATGCAGGAAGCCCAGGAGGCCGGGGAGGGAAATAATTGATTGTGTTAGAGACTTGAAAGAGTTGACTCGAGGGCTCGAGCATTAAACAAGCATGCATAAATGTTCCGCTCTCCTCGTCAATGATAGATCAATGACTGTCCTCTTCTGTTCCTCCTGTTGTGCAGCTATGGCAGAGTCTATGCAACGGCAGACCCCTACCACCACACGATTGGCCCCGCAGCCACATACAGTGTGGGGACTATGGTAAGTCTTTGAGGCCCCCGTCTGTATTTCTGCGTGCACCCCGTCTGAAACACCACGACACCAGCTAGCACACACACTCACACACACACACACACACACACACACACACACACACACACACACAACACTCACACACACACGATTCCAAAAATAAAGACCAGAGACTGCAGCAATCACTGGTCTTTATTTGTGTATTTATTCATCAATAGCTTTTTGTCACGCTATATGGCACGCCCTAGTGGAGCTCAGTGGTAATGCATGTTGAAATAAGCTCCGACACTTAACATACTGTATGTCATGCAATATTAATTTGACATGTGTTCCTGAAATGAGAATGAGTTTGTTTCCAAACCCAAACTTTGCATCTTAACATAACTACATTTCCCAGCATTCTGTTCATCCTACACACCTCACTACAGAGTGAGCTGGATCATCTTCTTTACTTTCCATTCAGTCCAACCAAACTTGAAGGCATAAGGTTGAATTGTTAATGTCTGTTTTTAGCTAGCTTTTGCAGCTACTGTAACATCAAAGATGAAAAGTGATGATAAATAAAAGAGCGTCTTTTTTTTAAACAGAGAGAGTTTCTCTTTTTAGTTTTGATGATGAAGAGGAGATGGGACCAGGCTCACAAAAACCAAACCTAGAGATTAAGGACCTTCAAACGCATGCAGCAGTGTGCCGTGGGACATAAGACAGAGAGCGAGGCGGGGGGGGGAGGGAGTTGTCTCGCCTTCCCCCTCGTGCCCACAAGCTTGATCCGAAGCGTGCTCTCAGCTTGAGAAATGACTCAAATTTACAATTCCGGCATGCATGCGATTTTTCACTAACATGACAATTAAAAAAATGTGCGTACAGTTCCCCGGTGCAGCTGCTAGCTAAAAGCTTTCATTAATTAAGACATTTCTTTTTCCTCTTCATTTACTTAATAAATAAAAAATGTGCTTGAATGTTTTTTATTCTTTCTTCTTTTTCCTCCAAACTTCCTTCCATTTCTCTGACACTGATGGTTTCCTCTCAACCAAAGTAGAAGATTTTGACCAACTAAAAATACCTCATGTTGGAACTCAGGCAACAATCGGAGGGACTAGAGNGGGGCAGGGGTTTGGTGTTGAACAAATGGCAGGGCTACTGGGAGACAGGCTGTGCTGAGGGCCGACATCCAATAAACTCATGGGCCGAAGAGAAGGAGCAGTGTGGTTCTTAATTCTTTAATCATATTTGATTAATGGTTCTCCAGCAGAGAGGAGTCATTTTTGCATTTTAAAGCTATACAATAATTAGTTCCTCTGAGATTAAGGTTTGAGATTCTCTTTACTCACTTCCAGAGTGCAGAAGCGTCTCGTATGGATGAAAGTTTCGCACCAGAGAGAGGACTCCCCGAAATTAGGCAAAATTAGCCTTTGAAGACATTCAGTAGCCTTTGGAGTTTGTCTGAATTCCTAATTGCAGCAGAGCCACAGGAAGATGAGAGGAGGGAGGGAGGGTGTGTGTGTGTGTGTGTGTGTGTGTGTGTGTGTGTGTGTGTGTGTGTGTGTGTGTGTGTGTGTGTGTGTGTGTGTGTGTGTAGGTGTGTGTGTGTGTGTGTGTGTGTGTGTGTGCAGGTGTGTGTGTGCAGGTGTGTGCAGGTGTGCAGGTGTGTGTGTGCAGGCATAGGCCCACTCGCAGGCTTTATGGGTCTCTGCCCTAGATAGGAATGTTTCTTCATCAGTAGAAAAAGCAATATGTTTTAATTCCCTTAAGAAATGAATTAAAGAAATTAAAATGTGAAGGCCCAGCGTTTCTTTAAGAAAGTGCTCTTTTTTGCACTTGCCCAATGACACTCCATGTCCACCAATGCATCCTAAATAGTAATGACCCTGTTCCTAACACACACTCCAATTATTGGCTTAACATTTTCAACCCCACTAATGATCGTCCCCGTATGGAAACTCATCATTCCGACATATATAAATGACTTTCATGGAAAAAGGAAGGAAATTTGTGGTGAAAAAGAGAAACGGACTAAAGCTGTCACCTGAATACTGATTGGTACTTTTTCATCTTTGATGTTGCAGGCTAGCCTATACAGAGGAGGGTACAGTCGCTTCACTCCCTACTAAAAGAAAGAAAAAGAAAAGACAGAGACATTACCGCAACAAACAAACAAAACAAAAAAAACGATCTTAAAAAATAACAAAAAACAACACAAAACAAGCAAAGGCCCGGTCCTTGGTGGAGAGCTAAATCAAACTAAAAGCTTCCAGGTCCCCACGCTGAGCCCCTCCCCCTGACACCCTCTCAAGCTGATATTTCTACAACAACCTATTTGATGTCATCATTGGTCTGCTCTTGTTTTGTATTCATTTTGTGCTTTTGGTTTTCTTTTGGAAAGTTTTGTATGCACATGTGCATTACCTTGATTGCTGTATATGGGTGCTGTGTCACCATAACCAATGTGAGCCTACTGCAGCACGCATGATGCATGCTCAGAGGTGTGTGTATACGCAGCCGCTGTCATCTGACTAAGAATATACTGGGGCATTTATTTTTTATGATACATGCATGACAAACTGGAAACATAGCAGGTGTTATCGGGTCCACGCTGATCCAATTTCAATTTGAACCTTCCATTACGGACAAAGAGCTCGGTGTACACGCTGACTCACATGCCTCTGTAATTCTTAGCTCAAAGACGGCACTGTTCTGACTGCTTTTGTTTTTTCTTTAAACGTTGGAGTGTCCTACTGTTGTGCACTTGCAGTGGAGCCTTACAAGCTGTACTATGTGGTCTGACAGCATGCAGACCACTGCCTGAAGGTCAGATTTCTGTCTCACAATGCTCACACTTTGGCTCAGTCTTCTGCAAATCACTCGATGTTTGTATGCAACTATTCTGCACGGTTCTAGAGGGGAGTGGAGCGCTGTCTTGGTTGTGTTCAGGAACAAAGAAAACTGTTAAAACGGGGATTGAGCGTTTGTTTTTCCAACCAGCAGCCTCGGTTTGCATCGCCCATTCTAGTAGTTGGCAGTGATATTTTAAACATTAAACGGGGATTTGCATATCAATATTTTGGAAAAATAACACACCCATTTTACACATACACAGAGCTTTTAGAAGAACCAAATTCCTTCTTGTATCACACCCAACTTGGTAAATGGCAACGTCTCTTTAACTCAGTTTTTTTTTAAATATGTAAAAAGTAATGTTTTTAGACCATGATGCTCCTCGAGAATTAGGGGAATGAAGTATAAAGTGTTTTCACTGGCTAAATAGTTTGAGTCAACTTGCTGTAAAATATAAAATTGAAGAAGTGCCTCTCTTTAATGTTGCCATTCAAACATATTAACTACTGTCGAAATAAAGTTAGAATATTTTTCAACATAGTCAAAGGATTTTTTGTATTTTTTAATTGAAAATCATTGGTGATGCATTATATAGGAAGGCATTTTAATGTCTTACTCACATAAAATGACATGGATATTGAGGGGAATAATTGGTAGATACATCAAGATAAATTACAATCTCAGAAGCTTGTAAATAGGAGTTATTAGACGGATTAGTGCAATTAATCAATTAACTGGTAAATCTATCATAAGAAAATTTATATTATGGATCCAACTTTATCTTTATCATTTTAATCTGCATCCCTTTAGTTTTGGATTTCTGTGTGAACACTACAAGCTATTTAAAGACGTCGCCTTCCTCATTTTTGCAGAACAAACAAATGGCTAAATAGTTGCAGATGAACGTAATTTGCAGAAGACTTGGCACTAACACCACGGCAGATGAATTGTACTCAAGGTGCGCTGTATTATCACAAACACACTGATACGCAGTAAGGACACAGCACGGAGGTGGTTGAACCCAACAGGGGGCTGTTCTGCATAGAGTCTCTTTTTAAACATTTCACAAAATGTTTTACCTCAGGATAAACTAACTGATCACAGACAACAATACAGTGCTACACACTCCTCAGCAGGCAGGATAGTTTATTTTCTAACACAACCAGCAGGTTTGTCCTCTTAGCAAACACAGCTTTCTATACGAGATGATTTTTTGTTCAAGCAGAGACCCCAAAAGAGGACGATAAAAAACGACTGTACTGTTGTTCTTTATTAAAGCTACTGTATTATATATATGTAGACATATACTGTATAACTAAGTTTACACTGCATACTCACACGTACAGTACGATATATTCTAAAAGCACTCTGGAGACGTGATGTAAATGTGTAGAGTGCAGCAGAGCTCGCCTCTTAGTCCACATACAGTGGTTGCATTGGCTTCTATTACAACTGTGTGCTACGTGAGGCAGATTGAAAATGAAAATCTCTGTGTAGCTGTTAGCGGTTCAAGATTTCAGTGCAGCTAGGAATACAACTCAAAGCTATTGCTGACAGTATTTTATTTATATGCACTCACAAAAGTGTTTGTGGTCTCAGAAAAAAAAATCAGTTTGTTGCACTTTTGCTTTTCCAAACTTTACAAGATGTTACATATTTATAAAAGTATCCTATACAGCTAGTTATGTCTAGTCCAGATGTTAAAACGATATGTTGTATATCAACACACAAAAAAAGAAAAATTAACCCATAATCTCATGAGTCTAAAAGAATCTTCACGTGGGTAAACAAATGTCGTTCTTCCTTTTATATGCTAGCACTTAGTTTTTATATGAGTCAAAGCAAACTTTGAATATTACTTTTAACCAAACAGGTGAAGTTGTTTGTGCATTTGTGTGAGTTTCTAGTGTAAACTCTGCAGCAGAGTTCATGTGCGGGTGTTGGTTAGTGACCACTATTAGGAAAGCTAGAATGGAATTAAGTCGATTTTAGTTTTCTGATGTGAATGTGTGTGCCTATGTGCTCTATATATACATATATATATACATATATATATATATATGTATATATATACATATGCATTAGAATGTGTGTGTGCGAGTGTGTTTGGGATAAGAGAAAGAGGAAGTGAATGCAGTTTGCTAACATATTGTAGTTAAGATACAGTTTTACATGCCTTCACTCTAAGTCCCTGTAATAACATCACAATAGCCTCTAAAATATCAGTATCAATCAAATATTTTTAACATTACACAGTCATAGAGAAAAACAAAAAGTACTTGGCCACGTTATTGACATGTATTCAGTATTTATCCAAGACTTACAATGTAATTCTAACAAAAACATCATAATTCCAAACATGACAGAATGCATCACAGAACTCATTGATTGACTGATGAGTCAATCAACATAATATTTGCAGTCTAAATAACCACTTTATAAAGCATTCAAATGATATATGATGATATATCTGTAAGAGTAGTTTGTGCACCAAAAATACAGGAAAATGCATATCATTCAAAATGGCCGACGTCCATGTGGGCGGGGCCTTGCTGTACCATGGAGCTTTTTGTACCATGGCACATTCAGATGGACACGTGTGCCAAATGTGTTGTCAATCGGACTTCAGTGAGAGAGGTCTGGCCTTTCCGAAATCTAAGACAATTTTCAGTAGACACATAATAATAGTTTTTCAAATGTTTATTTTTCTTCGACAAACAGATTTAATTTGTGAGCTACCACTATTCCTTTTAAATATAACATGACATTTGACATGCAATTAATCTGTTAAGAAATAGATTTTTTCTGCTCTCCACCCTAGGACAGGGGTCTGCAACCTTTTTGACCAAAAGAGCCATTTTGTCTGGAGCCGCAAAACATATTTGATAGCTTGATAGCTTATAAAGTTGACAAAAACTACAGTTTTTTTGCATTTATTATTTATTACATTATAGAAAACTGTTTACCTCTAATAATAAACAAAGAACTCTTATAAGGAGAATTAAAAAAAAATACACAGGCCTACTTTAAAATAAATCAACACAGCACTTGGGGAGTCCTCTGCACCTTTGAAGAAAATTAATATAATTAAAATGGGCCCACTTTAAAATAAATAAAACATATAGCTGCACCCTAAAAAGAGTTAACTGATTGAATTATGACTGAAGATCGTCAGCTGTCTTCCTCTTCCGTGTTTTTCCTCCAATACATAAAGGCTGTAGCACCTTTGACAACTTCTCTCCACATATCAAACATACCGGTAAGCCAGCATCGTTTGCTGTGAAAGCAGGTAACAGTCCTCGCAGAATTAAACCCTCTGTGTTCTTCCGATACTTTTCTTTGATTTATCCATAGTTCGCTCATCGAGCCAGGGGTCAGTTTATTCGCCTGCAAGAAAAGGCGCTGGTGCAGGACCGTGGCAGAATGTGACGCATATTTTAGTTGACCTAATTAAAACTTCTTTTTTTTATCTGTCACACTATCAACTCAAAATAGAAGATACGAAACATTTTCAACCGTGCAACAAAATATAAATAGTCCTACAAATATTTTTATTTTATTTCCTTCTTATTTTTGTCTTAGCTCAAGGGAGCCAGAGCAGTGGGCTCGAGAGCTGCGGGTTGCCGTCCCCTGCCCTAGGAGAATTTCGAAAATGTTCACTAAAAAGCAGAAAATTTAAAGAAATTCAAAATGGCCGACTTTCAAAAGTCGACAGGGGGATGAAAGCCAACTGGAAATATAATTCTACTGCGCTGTTATTAAAGGGACACGTTTGAGTATTGTCATCTGGAATCTGCTTCTATCAGTCTGCACGGGTTTGTTTACAGTTTACAGAAAAAGTTCAAATTAGCATTGTCTATATGTGTCAGTGTCAGCTTATCATGGCTTAAATGTTAAAGACAAAACATGTAAATAACTGGATGTCGGTATTGTAGAGGTCTGAGCCTTTTAGTTCTGCAAGTTAAAAGTAATCTAAATGTGAATTTATAAAACAGACACTTTGATATTTTCTCCGTTTAGTTTGCTTTCATTGTATTCCATAACCAGCCTAATATGCAACCAGACCTCTTTGAACCACACATCTGTTCGTATTTATTAATGGTAGTATTGAGAAACGTTTACATATCAGCAGAAAAATACTCTTTATCCATAATTTATATTTAATACAAGTATTTACTAAGCCCTGATAAGCTGGCAGGTGCATTTATTAGTTAAAAAATATTTGTACAAAAGAGAACCAAGCTAAAAAGTTACAGTACTTGTAAATACATTTAGATGTATATACATATATCGCAAATCTCTGATTAACTGTTTTATATGTATTCCTATATGAAGTGGGGTCATCTGTGTATTTTCAATTCAGCTGTTCTTGAATTGTATGTAATTTCTATAATGAGAATATATTGTCTGAAAGGTGTAAAGTAATTTTCTTTTGGATTTATTTCATAGTATACTATTATGACATTTTCTCTTATTTCATGGATTATTTATGTGACATATAAGTAACCTCTGATTGTTTTCAGTGTCAGAATAAAGCAGTTATAAGAACATTATGTCTGCCTTCACACATGGATGTTGTTGTTGCTGTTTTAAGGGTTTTATCAGAATCTGATTTTGGACTGTTGCATTATGTGTGCATCTTATCTGTTTGTTTAAAGCATTTCATCACTGAGCCCTGTTGGTGCCTGGCCCTTCAGATGGTTGCAAATAGGGACAGCTGCTACATTATGATGGCGATGAGAGCTTAACACAATGTGAATACAAACATATGAACAAGTTCATTTCAATTCTATAACAAGTTTTGCAAATTTGGAATTATTCACACATTTGACAACAATTGATTGCAAAGAAAAACAGACAACTGTGCCGATATGTGGCAGCTGATTTCATGTTTATAATATCTATATATAATATAAATACCTTTCAAGATGAATTGGCAGGATTGAACACAACATCAACTTCAGCGCAAACCTCCGCCAATGCCAATGGTGCATTCAGGTGCTCCTCAGATTTCCTTTTTTACAATTCAGCAGATTTTATTTGGTGTGCTCATGAGTTTAAAGTCATAACGTTAAAACAACATGGACACTGCAAAATCCTGCTGAAAGAAAAACAAACTAACAAAGCCGGTGGTGGAGTTGATAAGGAAGAAAAAAAGAAAATGCAATTGTCTCAGGTGTAAGTTGTATTGTGTTGAACTCTCTCAGCCATCATAGTCTGAACAACATTCCATTTTATTGGGGTGGCTGGAAAAATCTCGCAAAACCATATCCACATGATATCACATTGTTATTACAGCTGAACAACCAAACACATCTGCATGGCTCGACACTACTTGGTCTTTGAAGAAGAAAGCTTCTCTGTTATCCGGCCCTTTAATGGGCTCCACTTTTAATTGCTAAAGATAGACTTGTTTAAACAAAGTATGAGTGAAAGGAACGCAGGCTGTAATACCTGAACTAACCCCCCCCTGAATACTTCCTGTCCGTGGGTGATTAATATATTTGTCTCCGCAGCCCTCTCAGTTCGAGGCTGCCTGTCAGGGAGGACTATATGTGGCTCCGCTGTATTGTGCTCCCTCCCTGCTGAGCTGTAAGGCTGCATGAGGATATTTTTGTATAGCGGTCCCTAGCGAGCGCTCAGTGAATCCGAGCTATAGGAGAGATGGGGCGGGGGGGAGCAGCTCCTCCATGAGATGTATGCAAAGGGAGACGGGGTGGACGCTGATTGAGCACGCCACTTGTTTGTCTCTCTGGATTGGAGGGAGGTGGGGAGTTCGGGGGGAGTAACGCACTACAAAGGCAAATTAGAAGCTCGTCTTCCTTTTATTCCTTTATTTATTTATTTGTCGGAAGAGCTGCCAGAGATCCATCCGAATTAGCGAGCATGTTGTGACGAGGGCCCCGAGAAACTCGCCTTGCCTGCCCCTAACACCCCCTCCTCCCCCGCTTCCATCCGGCCCCATTACACTGAGATTTTCACTTTGCACTGCCAAACCGCCGATCTCCACTTGTATGATTACAGCGGACTGTGATCTGTATTCTGGGGAGAGCAGCGGTAGTGTTGGCAGGCGCGAGGCCTCTGCTCCCGCTTCTTTTATGTCACATTACAAGAACGGGATGAAGAGTGAATGAAGCTGTTGTCTCTCTGCTCCCAAACCTTTTTTGCAGTAGAGTTTTTAACATTGTTTCATTTTTTTGTGACAGTTTTTTACCCATTTTGCACTTTTCCTCCTTGTACATTACATAGATGGGAAAAATATGGGTTCGGAGGGCTTTACATGAAGTTTCCATACATTATTTCACATGTTTACTTGTATTTTAGTTTTTCAAAGGACTTTTTTTCCAGCATATTCTTTCCATGACAAGATTCTTACTCCTAAAAAAACTTGTTTAGAAAGGAATAAACTTGCTGCTACACTTATAATAAGACCTCTCATTATATATGCCTATGATAACATTCCATTCTGCATATTTACCAGTCTCCCTGCTTCTCTCCCCTGTTTCCAGTAAATACAAAAGGAAGAGCTGTACTCAGTATTGATGGACATCACAGATGAAAACAACGAAGGGAGGAGAACTAGCTTTAAGAAAATAACACAAGAAGAAGAAGAAGAAGATGAAAAAGAAGACGAAAAAGAAGACGAGAAGGAGTCCCTCTACTGAGGCTGGCGAGGGAAGACGGGAGGCGTACAAAGTGGCGCCGCGGCAGCGGTGTCGAACCAGCCACAAACTTGACAGACGGAGTGAGCCAGTTTCCACCAAGGAGCACCTTTTTGCCGTGTAGAAAAGACAGAGAGAGAATGAAAAGTGTCCCGTTATTATAAAACATTTTATTTTTCTATACTTTTGTGATTTACAATGGTAAAAAGTGTGTATAAAGCAGTATATATGTACAAATCTGTTTTTATGTTTTTTGCTAAGGGAGATGAACAGTTGGCCCTTGATGCTGATTCTGTGGTATGCAGGAAGGAGGAGGGAGGAGCCCCCCCTCCTCTCTCTATGGCACACTGCTCTGTCGCAGAGGTCGTGTAAACAAAAAACAGAATA